AACATTCTCTGGTTATTTCTTGTGTACTTTTCCCAATAACCATCTACGTTTGGAATTGCCATGCCATCTGGGGTTGGGTTTCTGAAAAAGTTCATAAAAATAATTCATAAAAGTAATATAAATGAGTGAGGCATTTGTATACAATATATTGTAAAACATTACACAAGCGTATTAGTGATAAATAAAACAGATTAGATGCATACCCAGATTTAGCAAAATTACACCATAACGTTTGAACTGTATCAGAAACTTTTCTGTCTTCATCGGTCCATTCCATGAATGCAAACGCATTATCCTGATATGATGAGCCGAATACATAAAACAATTCCGCTACATGTGGAACACCTATATTATAAAATATTATAAAATGTTATTGTTGTATGTAGTAGGCTATTTTAAAGTGCATATATGATATAATTGTATTCTTCTGGTAAAATATTAAGGTAGCAGAATAGGTTAGTGTCACTGTAAGGTCACGTATGTTTTTCAGACGACGTTTTAGAAAATACAAGGTTCATAATTTCAAAATCAAAATACGACTAGTAAGTTTATATTCCCGACAACAAGAAAAGCAAACGGCATCAGCTTAGTGCTACTCAGTAAACCGAAGAAGAAAAAAATGTTTGTGAATCTGTACTTTCAGCAGTGTTTATTAGGCGATTGCAAGATAGTTCTTCTTCCCTTGGAAATAACCATTCTTTATACATTTTATTTATTTAGCCGTTGCTACCTTAAGTAAAAAGCAATGTGAAGGAATTTACCCATCCAATCCGGTAAAATACCACTTCTGTCATAATCAAAACGATAAACATACGTGTCCAATCCATAAATTGAAAAAGCTCTTGCTTGCCAATGGATGCCAGCATGGAAGATATTTTCATCCAAGAGCTGTGAAAATAGCATATGGTGTGTTAAAGTAATCATACTGAACATTATGAACCAGACGCTACGTTAGATTTGAACTAACAAAACATAAAGTACTAGCAAATCATCAATTTAGTATTGCTCTATTCTAACAATGTAAATCGCACATATTTCGTGAAATATTTAGAATATCAAAAAAAAACAAAAAAAAAACAGCACTGAATCAGAGTCACAATGTCCAAGGTGAGTAAATCGTGTGATCTAACTTTGGAGCTGTATTACTTTTAAAGCTATCTTGGATCTCAAATAATCAGCAATCAAATGTGTTACTTTTAATATTATATTCAATAAATATTTGATCGTTGTATGGATTGATCCAATATAAATCCACTATAAAAGTCACTTTCCACAAACACAAAACAAACGCAAACGTGTTCTACTACCTGACAGGTTTTTTGTTGGGGTGAAATGTCTTTATAATATTAATTATTTATTATGAGCATATTTCCAATATTCTCTGATGCCAACAATGATGCAAACTGTTCATATGGCATCTTAGGTCTTGTGCTGTCATTACCACGTATTAAACGTATGGTTAAATATCGTGTTTTGTGAGCATTTTCCATAGTAAGACGTATGCTATTCAGTGTAGATAAAGCTTACCTCCATGTACGCATCTCTCAGCAATGTTACGTTTTCTGGGTCCTCCCAAGGAGTGTATTGATTGCCATAGGCTTTGAATAAATCTTCGTAATGGATATTTGTATCTGAATAATATTTCCTCCCCAAAACGTTTCTGTCCCAAAGCAACTGATTGAATTCATCCCTTGTCATTCCATCCCCCGCACCATCAACAAGTACTGACAATCATGAGTGAATAATATACATGAATATAAAATGATAGGAATATGTAGATGATTTAATAATGTTGTAATAGTTATTTTGTTTTCCCTCAATCCTCAACGGTTACCTGTGTAACCTGTGGGACAATGCTACTGTGTATGTACAGTTAAAATACAATTTGTCAATGGTAATTTACATCAATGTTGTGTATACCCACCCATTAATGGACTTGTTTCGTCTTTATTATAACCAATGAGTACGGGAACATCCATATTAAACTGACCATTTTTTAGTAAATTTAACGGTTCGTCCGGAAGAAAACCTCCAGGTCCGTCCACAACTGGTGCCCATGTGAATATGTTATAGAGTTGCTGAAATACAAATAAACGTATCAGAAAGGTTTTAGACGTATTGTATCAGTACATACACCTTTTTGTGACGCCATTAACGGTGAACAATTGAAATCAAGAAAACGTTGACGGACAAGGCTCCAAGAGGGCGTACATCAAGATACAAGTGCAGTATTAATATTATTGAACTTTCAACTTGAACATTTGTATCTGTCCTGTATTACGTCATACTGTGGAAACACGCGCGTTCCGCATGGGATGAATATTTTTATCCCATTTATCATTGCAGTTCAATGTAATACGAATCCCGGCAATCTGATTGGTTGGTGCAAGCAGATTTAACTTTTTACATCTTGGCTTAGAGTCACAAAATAAGTCAATATCTCAAGATGTTGGAGGTTTTACGCTATATTTTTCAAATTATTATTTAAAATTATATTATCATTATAATTCGAATATTTCTGGTAGTTTTAAGTGTCCACCAAAACGCGTGATTGATATAAAGCCGCGTACGTTTGAAATGTATTTTCAGGTTCATTTTCTAACCTCAAACGAGAAAATAAAGTGATATATTCTAAAACAACTTTATTTTCTAATCGCAATGGGGTAAACTAATAGCGTAATCGGTGTTCATAAACGGATATCTATTTTATATAAACAAACCAGAACGCTCAAAACCAGAACTTGAAAACGTGCGTCTCACACATTTTTGTTTGTTCATTCGTTTTTGTGATAATGCACACCGATAAAGTGGCGTTTTCGAAGGATGTTTTCGATCGGAATAAACCTTCAAATGATGTATTACGCATTAGATGTTTAACCTGTATCTCGTTATTGTGATATTAAATCCCAATAAACAACAACAATAACCAAATTAAATTTCTTGTTACGTCATCCTTTTTCAATTTTTCATTCACCAAGAAGCGAAACCTTTTTAGCCTTAGTTTTTAGCTCTCAGAACTTCGAAATAAATACATATCGATTTGCTAAAGCAATGTATTAATTTGCCTTGCCAAAAACACAAATTGATAAGAAACTCTCATGCGATATTCTCTCATCTGAAGATTTCTTTGATCTAATATGTGATAAACACATAACATTGCATTCTACAAGACACAATGTGAACAATGCATTGTATGTATTTAAATTAATGCAGAGCATCAAATTCAAAAATCTCGGTAAATGGATGAATGTGTTCATCTGTATGAATCCTAGTCTTACGCACATTGATGACTGCATGGATAATGAATGTGGACTTAAATAAATTAATTACCATGCATTAATTGATGTTAACCTAATTTGTCATTTAAAAATTGGTGAGAAGTTAAAATGTGACACTAAAATATACCAGCTCTGGACACGTGTTAAATGCAGAAACACACCTATCTCGCATCAACTTAAATATTGTGTACCATAATCATTTATATAGTATTGTATTTTTTAAAACAAAGGCATAATTATCCTTACAATGGGTGTCATTGCACTAATCAGAAAGGGGTCCATGGTTCTCAGACAAGCTAATAAATCTTCATGGGGTAGCCGTGGGCAACCACTATTATCGGCCAACAAATAAGCAGCGTCTGTTGGATCATATGGTTCAATGTAAACTGCCCACGGATTTAATGAACTTCCGCTTTCTGCAATCACCTTCTTATAAAGACCTACATACCAGAAAAACATAATGACTTACATCAATGATAAAAACGTACTAGTATAACGCTCGGAGAATCACTTTATTTACCGAGGACGCTGTTAAAGACCTTGTAGATGGGGAAGGGATAAAAAAGCAAACATGCGGGATAGCCTTTGACATCTACTGTGAACGGAGCTCTACTGTACCTAATTTAAGTTATTATTTACTCATAGAATCACCCATTTCAATCCAGAAGAAAATGACTCATGCAATAAGAATACAGTTTATCACTTTATAGCAATTAGGGATGATAAACTGAAGTACAATATGATTCTTTCAATTTCAACGATGTAAGGTGTTAAACTTTTTGAATTTAACTTTGAAAAAAACAACTCACTTCAAAACCAATTATGTACATTACACATTATTGATAACAGTAACATACATGATTCCTGTTCATTTCCTAACGAGTTGATAACACACACGTGGTTTATTTAAGAATAGATTTTGACTTTTTTTCATTACATCGCAATTTCAATTGAAGTTTGTTTTTGGTTTCAGCAACTAAAAACATAAGCCGACGCATAAAACAATGTTGAAACTGTATGATGAAACGATGAACTCAAAGTCACTGTCTTATTATATGGCTATTACAAAATGCGTTCGTACCTTTAGACAACGGAGACAACATATGCATACTGACACTAGCAGCACCCGCACTTTCTCCAAATATCGTGACATCTTCGGGATTTCCACCAAAAGCAGCAATATTTTATTTCACCCACGCCAAAGCCGCCACTTGGTCAAGCATACCATAGTTACCAGGCGATACTTCATCCATGGTACTCAGATAACCTAATTTGTTGAGTTCAAAAGGGGGGTCAAAGCGTTTGTAAATAAACACGCATATAACTTCCTCGATGTATGAGGTCATCATTTGCATAAAATGGGTTTACCATCTACTGATATTAGATGCTCCTGACGTCTAAAATTAAACACGTATAAAATTAAATATAGCCAAGGTTTAGTTAAAGTACAAACTAAGCATTTGAAAGAAAAATTGAACACTAAATTGTTTGTCGAAACAATATGATGTAGAAAGTGGTCGTCTCAGTGTGGTCACATGATGCACCATTATCAACTGAATGCAGGGAATATGGTATAACAAAATGTCAGACTTCAATCACGTAAATGTACACTAATATCGTCACTGTTTAATATATCCTTCGAAATATATTTTCCAAACGCAAAATATACCGGGATAATAAATTAAAGTAGCAAGAGAATCAATATTCAAAGAAACATATATACAATAATGGAAATTTCATAATAGTACAACAAATGAAATGAACATACGATAAATAATAATGGAACGCAAATGTTCAACCCATTTTTTGTGCCATCAGCTCTAACCTAATAAACGAAGAGGTGATAATCAAGAGATATGGGCTGTCAACAAATTAAATCAGTTCAAATAAGCACGACAGGCAGTGCTATATATAGCACTCGGACTGACAATAATAATAAGGGCATACATGTACATGTGCATACATGTACATGCACAGTGTCTAATAATATGATGATCTTGCATTACCTAATGCTCCTAGGCGATAGTTAAAATTCACCACAATAACCTTTTGACGTTCTGCAAGTATACTACCATCGTATAGAGCCATTGATGTACCGATCGCATATGCCCCGCCCTGTATGAATACCATCACGGGAAAGGTTTCATCCGGCGAGTTTACATACTGTGAATAGAATGTATACATACCATTTTGATATTGACGTCATTTATGCTATTTGATAAACTCTAGATGCACGTTTCAAATATAATGATGTAACTGGTGATTTTGATCAAAATACTAGTATAAAAATATATATCTACCAACCTTAGGTGCGTATATATTCATGAAAAGACAGTCTTCGCTCAGAAAATCACTGAAGGTCAGATTTGTTGCCGAAATATTACGAATTGTGCCGACGATTTCTTCCAGTGGTATTGACGAAGTTAAGTTTTGTAGAAAATCAATAATTTCTCGTATTGGTGGTAGATCTGGTTCTGGTAAGTCTATATTTGTTCGTGGGAATAATGGTAGATCTGGAAGGTCTGGGAGCAAGGTTTTGATAGTTGCAAAAAGGGATCCAAGCTGTGGACATCCAGGACCATAATAGGTGGCATCTCTAGGGCCGTCCTCAGCCCAGTTAGGACCTGGACTGGGAGGCTTAAATCGCAAGTCGCCAACTGGTGCAGCAGCAAACGGAATGCGACCGAAAAAGTCCACGTATAGATCATCGGTTACTTGCTTCCGTTCACCAATGAGATCGCCTTGTGCAATAGAAACGACGACATTTTCACATGAACAAAAGTTCAGGAGAAAAAATGAGCAAAACAGCGTGAGTAGCGTAAAATGTCCTTCCATTATGCCGGCGACCCTTATTTTCTATCGAACCAAATCAAATCATGACAAATCACGTGATAGAATTTGTAACATCACAGCTAACAAGTAATTAATGATTCACAAACACCATAGTTAAGTAATGCCCTGGTAGGTATTGAATGCGATGATACAATGTATTAAAATGCATGCGATCAAAGTTCGAAATTAAGACACGCAATGTTTCAGGACACTGTGGATGTTTATGAAATGTGTAGCCATTGAACCAGCACGTCAGCATTAATTATACCAATGGAAATACATTATGAAGTATATATTCTGTTATATGATCTCTATCTTATCGTCATGTTTTATACACAGTATTAACATCATTCTAAATTCTGTTTGGGATTACTACGTGTATTTTTGCCCATTGTTCCTATTCTACGTCCTTCTAAGACCGTTTTAATTTTAATGCATTATCGTAGTTTATAATTATTATATCGTTATGGAAACTGCATCGTTCGGAATTGTGGCCAATGGCAATAAAGTTTAATTTTGTCGTAATATGTGACTGATTAAGCAATAAAGTGTATATTTTTTTTCAAACATTCGATGTTGTTGTTATGTGTATATATCGGTATATATCGGTAATATATAGATGCTTTATTGTTCACATGCAACTAGCCATATCAGTGTTCATACCGTAAACATACAAGATTGATAAATAGTTTTTTTTTTCATTTTCCAGTTGTGCATAAAGATACAATAAAATACACGTAAATGACTGATGTTGATGAAGATGCAGCACAGTATTCATTAAATATCTACTCGAGATCAAATCTCCGTCTTTCAAAAGTATAATCTCTTGTATTAAATTAGTGATTTATGGCTAAAAGCCATATTTATAATTTGTATTTACACGAATGATAAGGGCCCTATATTCTACTAAACAAAGATGCCCTTTCATTAACTCAGCGACATACAAAGTATGTTATAGATATAATGCTATCATGTGTAAACAGATGTGCGCGAAGGTCGCAGATATTAGCCTAATTCTCACAGAGAGACGCGGATTTGTTAAATGTTGCCTAGTAAGCAAAACAGGTCACACCGACATATATTAAGACTAATTAGTCAACCACCACTGAAGTACCGGTACCATGTCACTCGTCTCGTTAAATTGTTCCGATCGATACTTGGCACAGTGTCGTTAAAGATAATTACAGCTGGAGTTTGTGTTGACCATATGCTTAAAGTATGTAACACCGTGACTCTGATCAGAGTTCACTGTGTCACCCACATGTCTCTATATACATTTGCTTGTGTGTTTGTGTAACCTAGCACTAAATGCACGACGTCAATATATCGAGGTAATCTTGGCGCTGCTTGTAGCTCTTTTTGTTGTGTTTCAATATTATCGATTGGCCCGCTTTCTTCACTATGTCCAGTGATTGGCTTGTTTCCATTGATAGTGTTCTGAGGCCCAAAGTTCCGAGCAACAGGTGGTATATTTATAAATATAAGGTGATAGTCATGATTCCCGTCATAACAGATGGGTAGAATATGTCTAAGTTTGCGGAAGAGAGAATGGTATCTGCCTAGTCAATTATATCGCCTCGCCTGGATACTGTGACTGGTCACTGTAATGTAACGCTCGGAAATCTAAAGTATAGTTCTGTCACCATCGTGCTGCTGCCTTGATGTTGTCAAAAACAGTGTTTTAGCTGTCTTTTCAAAAACACAAACATGTTTTTGTTCGTCAGCGTATCCATATTTTGGGGGGAGGTAAACGGTTAGCAAAATTTGGCAAGTCAGCAGTTTTGCTGACAAAATTAGATATGGAATCCTTGTAGTAAATGGTTAACATAATTTATCTCGTAACATATGAGGGACCATACTGGAACTTAATTGCGTTGAGTAAAAGAGTCAGCTACTATAATTTAATAAGGTATTTAAAAGTTAGTGGTCTTTTTTAAAACGCGGTAATGCAATACATATATCGCTATAATAATAAAAAAGAATGTTTAAACAAAAAGTTCCGGATAAAATGTGTACGTGAACAATTCCCCCTCAATTTTGATCCCTTAATCTGTTTGAAGGGGAAATGTTGCTCATCTTTTACGACAAGGCCTTACATGAATGCGGTGTCAAGATATTGCTGACCTGCTCACCAAATTTTGCCTATCAAAATTGTATCCACCGCTAACCATCATATTTTAGAGATATAATTATATTACAAGTATTTACACCAATAAATAAAATAATAAATCACGTATATTGAATAACAGCATCCAGCTTATTTAAATACAACATGCTTTAAAAAAAAGTTAAAAGAAGTGGAAGTTTAATATTGCACCATCGTTACTGATGGAAAATATCATGGCAGCCATGACGGTAAACACTTAATTATTAATAAGTGGGTGAATCTTTTGATTTGCGATATTTTGAAGTGTATTGGGGATGACGATCGTATGAATTATAATAGCATTCAATACAAGCGAGGTCACGATGATCACCGCCTCCCTGGTGACGCTGACTTTGCACCTACATCGTTTTCCAAGCGCTTTGTGTCGGGGTCAAAGCTCTTTAATTTTTAGCCGCGTTGTCGAGTATCGATGGTTAACTTTTACCTATTTAAGTAAGCTGATTCTATTTATTTATTTATTTATTTATTTATTTATTTATTTATTTATTTATTTATTTATTTATTTATTTATTTATTTATTTATTTATTTATTTATTTATTCATTCATTCTGTTATTATTTATTCATTTACCTATTTTTTTATTTATTCTGTTATTTATTACTTTTTTACCCTAATGGCACGCCATAGTATGTACATGGAACCCAGACTGTTTTGTTTTGGAAAAGAGAGGCAGTCACTGCCTACAGCCACAACTGCCAGACATGACGTGACAATTAATTGCGCGGAGTTTCCCGAAATGAGAAAACGTAGAAAATGTCGCATGATGAGTGTGTTACCATAGTGACGTCACATACACACGTTTACTTCACACGACGCTACAAAAATGGCGTAAATATTGTTGTAGTTAGATGTTGTTTCGGGGCCTTGTTGTCTGTGTGTGATTATGTATTCAAATCATTTTAAATGATATTGGCTATAGTCGTAGCTATTGTCTTACTTGTCTGTAGGGGTATCGTGTAAATTTCAACCTGAAATAGCTCAGTGATTTCCGGAAATGGCGGGTTATGTCCGGTAAAGCAGATTGTCTATAGTGGTACATAGTCCATATATGCTGAATGTGCATTTGAGTACGACTTATTTTTATATGCGAATGACAAACCATCATAAAAAATTGGTCAGTCTGACCGATATATAACATGTAGCGTTTTGTTAAAATTTACATCCAACTTTAAGAGAACTAATCAAATATTATTTAAAACGTCGCAAATGTTAGCGATGTATTAAACGACTTTAGTATGCAGAATAGACCCACTGGTTGATGACTACTGGATCCACACCAATAGAATCCAATTGTCAGTTGCTTTGAATTTGAATATCAATGATTATCGTTTATTTGACATCATAGCCTAATGTACGCCAGTTTCCTGTTTGATTCTCTTCTTATAAATATTTATCTTTGTGATAGACGAACAATGCGATGTATTATGTAATATAACGATATATATAAAAAAGAATATACGTATATAATGATACAATTGGTTCATTATTTGCTAATTATGATATAAATATAGTATGTGTTTCGACGTCTCCATAAAACCAACATCTCAAGTCATATACATATATTAAAATGTGGAATATAAAAAATGAAACAAATAACGTAATACAATATATGACATTCTATGGTCTGACTTATGACCTTTAATTTATCAACGAAAACAGCGATATGCATCCAATATCAACATGTAAAATGTATTCGATTTATTTTATTTTTATCAAAAAAATATGACTAGTATTCGAATAATGATCGTGATTTATACTCAAATATATTTAAACTACATAATCTACGTAAAGAGTTTATCTGTAATGATGTAATTTGGCGACGTATGTCAATTTAACGACTACTCTACTATAATAACTTTAGTATTAAACGTAGGTTCGTATATGTTATCTTTCAAGATAACACATATTATTCATCGTCAAGGTATTGACTTGTATCGGTAATAATAATATTTACATATTTATCATATTCAGCAAATTAAACGAGTGCGTATTGTATTCACTTTACTGTAGAATTATACAGCTGTTGCTCCGACAAAATACATCAGTACCATGATGCTCACAGCACACGGGGCAATACAGTGTGGATCGTTTCATCAACACACTGTTCAACTCAAAATATTCGTGTGTTGCATGTAATTCGGCGTGTTTGAAAACAAACATAGGTCATGCCGTACTCTCGATTAGCACACACATTGGAACGATTATATTGGGTTTGTTTGGGGTTTGGCATTGGATACGTCATTTCACAATGGGTAGGTACGATTGATTTTACAACATTTACAATTATCTATGTCTGTTCGTCTGACGTGTTCCATATTGGTACATTACCTGAATCTGGTCACTATTATTTAATTATTATTCATTATCTTACATGAGAAGGTGGTGATTGTTTTTTTCGTTAGGTTTCGTAGGTCAACTCGATTATGTAAAATCTGTACTTAGCTGCCAATTTTGTGCGCTTTACACGGACCTAATGCTCTTCACACAGCACTCTGGTGAATTACGTTCATCACTCCCGATTAAGGATGATTTGGTCACCATATCTCATGATGTCTTCAAGAATGAAATAAGTAAACACACTCTAATCACCAGTCACAATAACGTTTCCTCGCCGCGAAGTGAACGAGTTACGAAAGAGCTAGCAAATGAAACTACCAGTACCACGATTAATAAAGCTACAAACCCGGCAAAAGTGGTAACAATGAAAGCACAGGAGGTATACAGGAGCACACATGTTGATTTATATCCCTACCGAAAGTATGATCCATTGGCAATGGAGTGGATTAACACTGTAGAAGAAATGGAATGGATTCACAGAAACAGTTATAATGAAGATAAAAAGGACTATAAAAAACCATTTGACCATGGAACCGGTGAGATGTGGTCCACATCTGTTATCAAAACCAGGCAAGTGTACTTAAATGATTGATATCGTAATATTTCACAATGTCTCCTAATTATAATATGCAGTTAATATATTAATGTTTTAGTTTTCATTGTTATTTTTTACAGGCATCAGTTACACTTTCGTGAAGTGTTCTCTTTTTGCGACAATTAGCTTTTTAAAATACCTTCCAGACATTTGTATGTGCAATATTGTCAGCATTTCATTTATAGATTAAGAATCAATTACAAAAAAATAATGATCAAATAAATGTACATTAGCTATAAAGAGGTATGCACATGTATGTGGTGCATTCAAATTAAAATAATTGTCAACTCGTATTTATTTATCTATTTATTATTTTTTTCATTTTTTTTTTAAATTTTGCCAAGAGTAATTGTGAAAACTGACAGAAATGATATTCGTAAAGGCTCATATATTTGCGTTGAAATCGAAACTTTTGATGATAATGGCCGTAAAAGAAAGAGAGGAGGCGACTTCTTCACTGCTAACATGGCTAATGTTGCACTGCAGAAGAGTACAGCTGGTCGCGTTGTTGACCATGGCAATGGAACTTACTCAGTATTTTTCTACGCGGCCTGGTCTGGCGAAGCACAAATTGACATTGCACTCTCATTTCCACGAGAGATTATAATTCACACAAAAAATACAATGAGACGCGAAGAACTTCAAGGGTTTGCAGCAAATTACTCTGATGGAAAATGGAATGCAGAAACTCGCTGCTCCCTTATCAATGAAGGCGTGTGGTCAGACAGATGTGAATACATCAATCCAAACGCATTAGGTAAAACAGTCTTTGCATGTGTCAAACTACCGTATTTTAGCTGCGACCAGCTTATTAACGTGTGGTCAAAGGGTGCTGGTCTGAACCGTCTTCCTTTAGATGAAAAACAAAAAGTCCAGTATATTTATGATGGGTAAGTAGTTATGCTGTCATATATTCGAGCAGCAGTATAATAACTGCGATAGGAAATTTAAAATGTTAATCTCTCCTATATAAACACTGGTTATATTTTACACGTATGCTATTCATACCATGCTTTGCATACCTACAAGTTGGTACAGACATAGCTTTACCTGAATTTCAATCCCGTCGATTTAAGTACAGATTCTACTATGTACGCTGGCGACAGGAATCTGTGCTTATAACGACTGTCACTAGATATCCCGGATGATGCCCCTTGCCAATAACTTGTACTCACCGTGCTTCTCCTATTAAGCTGTGCATTCTGTATAGTCTATACTCTTTCCCGATATGTTCAGTTGTGTATTTCCTATTAACTACACCTTTTGTAGATAAATTGTGTATTCACTGTGGTCCACACCCTTTCGTAATATGTTATGTATTCACTTTGGATTACATCGATCTATTATTGATAAGTCGTGAATTTCCATAGATCGCAATCTTTCACAATATGTTGTACATTCGCTATACACTGTACCATTTTCCGATAAGTTGTGTAATCGCTATGTCATATTATTTTTCTCAAACATTTTTATACAGGAGATACAGTCCGAATACTTTAAAAGAGACGCCAATAAAGTTGAAAATCTTGGGTAAGACTGACTTTCTTAGTCATATTTTAGGTGGCTTGTAAGAATGAATGAATGGATGGATAAATAAATAATGTTTTTTTTTGCTATGTAGAAGCTGAAGTATCTCCTCCAAAATTACCTCCATGTGGACCTGATGTACCTATACCATTATCAAGTGGCTACTGGGAAAACTCTTCCGTATTTGTGCCTCTAGTGTGTCAAAGTCAACAATGGAGACAGCAAGATATCGACAATTGCATAGCTGACAAGGAATTCTTTAGTGTTGGCGACTCTACACTTGGGCCACTGGTTAAATGGTTTCTCAAATCACCTGAGTTAAGAGAGTCTAACATTTATTTTATGACACCGAGGCTTGCAGGTCCAAGGGTTAAGATCTTTGAAACTATTTTTGAAGCTGATTTGATTGACAAAATCAGTAAGCGAAACTGCCAATCAAAGACACATGTCGTATTCTTAAATTTTTGTTTTCACTTTGCTGGATGGTCTACACGAGCTTATGTAGAACGACTTGTTCGCGTAAATTTGGCAATTCTTCGACTTTTGCAACGATGTCCAAATTCGAAAATTATGATAAAACTTGCACATTCACGTGAAAATCTGTACAAGGAGCAGCGTAACAACCTCAATTGGATATACTATGACATGAATCGAATTGCCAGGCGCGTGTTCGGAGGAACCGGTGTTCTGTTTCTTGACCTTTGGGATATGATTAATTCTTCTTTTCAGGAAAACACAATTCATATGCACGGTGCGGTGGCACAACAAGAATTTTATCTCGCCATATCCTATATCTGCCCAGAATATGTCAAGTTACAGTAGTTGTATTTAGCAGTGTGCTCGATGAATGACTTGCAAGATCGGCAACTGAGGTGGCCATTGACCACCATTTAATTGTGTTCCAATAGTTGAAATCAGACGAGGTTGTTCAATGTTCAAACATAGTTTAACACATCGCCATCGGAAGACCTCCATTAATCGCTACCATATCATTCATTTCTGAAGCCCTCTCCACAGTACAAACGGTTTATGCGTGTGGGTTGGAATAGGTTATATAATTGAAATAAAAATTGAGATAACTGAGAAAAGATTTTTATCATTAAAGGAAACATCATCCAAAACAACATAATGACCCCTAAAGAAAAAGCTCCACAAATGTAGGAGAATGCAATTTACAGTTTTTTTATATCACTTTTCGTTCTCTAGATATTCAGCCAAAATCAAAAATGTTTAGAATAGGATCAGCGAACTTCTTTGTGTGGAGTCAAACTCTGGTGGCAGCCATGTTTGTTTTTATTATTAGAGGACGTTTACGTGCATAATCATTCCATATTTGGAATTCACATTTCCTAATATGGTATGAAAATACCCCAGAAAATACCACAAAACAAGCCATGCATGGCACAGTCCCCGTTAGTTATCAAATTTAAGATATATAGTTTTGTCTATAGCAACACAGCTGGAATATAACCTTGTCAGGAATATGATTATGATGATTGTTTAACATTAAAATGATTGAAATTTGCATCTGATCAACAAATAAGTACTTGTCAATATTTAGAATTATTGTTCTGGAACAGCATTAATTAAAACAAGCCATGCATGGCACAGTCCCCGTTAGTTATCAAATTTAAGATATATAGTTTTGTTTATAGTAATATAGCTGGAATATAACCATGTCAGGAATATGATTTTTTTAACATTAAAATGACTGACATTTGTATCTGATCATCAAACAAGTACTTGTCCATATTGAGAGATATTGCTCTGGAACAGCATTCAAAATCAGCCATTTTGAATACATGTATATATATATAACATGATGTATAATGAATATATAAAATTTTAATATAATCAGTCAAAGCATTTAAGAGATATAGCTCTAGAAGCCCAATCATTAAAACAAAATGGCCGCCAGTCAGCCATTTTGAATCCAATCTCAAAAATAAAAAGACGTGCATCAGGAACCAGTAATGTCTAATGTATGTACCAAGTTTGGATGAAATCCATTCATAAATGCTTGATATTTGATGATTTTTAGTACAAAAATTACCACCATTCGGCCATTTTGGAATATGATCGTCAAACCAATATATCTGTTTATCTATGACATGATGTATAATGAATATTTAAAAATTGAATATAATCAGTCAAAACAAGTCTGAGATATGGGCCGAGAAGCACATTCATTAAAACAAAATGGCCGCCAGACAGTCATTTTGAATCTGATCTGAAAAATAAATGATGTGCATCAGGAACCTGTAATGTCTAATATATGTACCAAGTTTGAACGAAATCCATCCATAAAGGTTTGATATTTGATGATTTTTTAGCACAAAAATGGCCACATTCGGCCACTTTGAATATGATGGTCAAACCAATATATCTGTATATCTATGACATGATGTATAATGAAAATTTAAACATAATCAAGTGAAAGCAAGTCAGAGATATGGCACGAAAACCACTTTAATTAAAACAAAATGGCCACCATTCGGCCATTTTGAATCTTATCTGAAAAACAAAATGATTTGCATCAAGGTCCCATAATGTCTAATGTATATACTAAGTTTGAACAAAATCCATCTGTAAACAGCAGAGAAATGCTTGATTTTGATGACTTTTGAGCACAAAAATAGCCACCATTCGGCCATCTTGAATTAGATCATGAAAGAAATTGATGTGCATATGTATAATATGATGCATGTGTGCAGTTTGATTGTGATTGGTCCAGGCATTTCTAAAATACAGGTCCGGAAGCACGCAGGCAGGCACGCACGCACGGAAGCATAGAGGTCAAAACTGTATCCGAACGGGGACGTTACGATGACAGATGTATAATAATATACAATAACCCTAGTGCCACAGGGGTACCATATGCAGATATACAAGACTATGCTATCTATATCAAAAGTCACATGATTTAACAATTTCTCCAGAAATGTTTCAAGATGCACTGACAATATAAGTAGTCAGCATGTTTATTATTATTAGTTGATAAAGACATTCTACGGTTTTCAAAATTGAAACATTTACATAGTATACATGGATGTGGATTAAGCAAGTCTCCCTAAGTTACCGTCTCCCTAGATTTAACAATAGATTGATGCACATGGTTTGACAAAAATTCTTACTTCCTGTGTGAGTTATTGTGTAATTTTCAAATATATCCAAGTAATTGTCCAAAAAACTCTCAAGTATCATTTCAGAATGCTACTTCTAAGTGAACACGCAAATATTCAGCATGACACCTTATAGATAATACACTTGACATTTAGTTGGCTTACAACCTTTGAATTAAAGTGCAAAACACATGACTATAAATAAACATCATTCCATGCATACCATGGGGGTTCTTGTACCTTTCTTTTTCTGTGCAGTATACTGTAGTCAGTTTTATCGAGTGTTATCAGTCTTTTGTTTTGTGTTTTTGAACTTCCCAGGTCATATAACCAGTTTTGATTTCTGTAGCCACACTACTCACTAGCTGTGTTGCTTCCACTGTGGATTTGTCTGCCATATTTATCTAAATATTTTATTCTAGAAAAAAAACAGTCATGAAACATTGCACACTAAGAACACAACAAATAAATTCAATGACACATTACACTAGGTGTGGCAAATGTAAAAAATAAGTAAAATCCTCTTAAAGCAATACACATTTTCATATAGGTATAAGCAAAAAAATGACTCGTCTCAAAAACCTGAGAATAATATGACATGTTACAAAAGTCAGTCTAAACTATAGATTTGTTAAGTTTCAGAAAACAATATGCAGCCCAAGATGTCCAAATTTCAACAAAAAAACTCACTAAGAGTGTTTTTTTTATACTACAATGTAGCAGTGTAGACATAAGTCTACCTTAGCTCTATGACGCCTAAAACTAAATGATTTGATTTGTTGATTAATAGTTCATCTGGGAAGGAGTAATTCCCTCACTCACATACCAGAAGAAAGTACAATATATTTGTACAAAAGTTCTGAAAGCAGACTGATTTGGGTATGTAAGGACATGGCGTCTGGGTACTTAGCCAAGGAAGTAACGTCATGAAAACAGGCAATCTATTAGTCTGAATCAATAATACTTGAATATCAGAGATGCCAACCTTTATCTTTGACGAGTACAAGTAGCTCTACTGAATTTCAAAAACTATACAAGCTAAAGAATATATCTAATATACAGATCTTACATTTCCAATGAAATTTGTATTATGCAGTGTCAATGTGTGTTTGAAATTTGGCCACAAGGAATACAATTAACTTGATTTTGAACTTGTATTAAGATCATATTCTTTGAAAAATATAATATGACTGAAAACAACTGAGAAGAAAAACAGAACAAATGCTCCAAAAGAGGTATGGTAAAATCATAGTAATTATTCCCTGTATCGTAATAGTGTAATCGAGCCCTCAATTTTGTAATAATTACGCTGAAATCGTAATGCTTGGCATCTCTGAAACATAAAAGAATTTCATGATTTATGATAACTGACTAAGCAAATCAATGTTTATTATTAAAATAAACATTGTTGTAGATTATGTGTGTGGTTATCACAACTTGATATAATCATTTGTTTAGATTGCAGCCTGGCTGGAATACCACTTGGATAGCTAGTAAACCAACTGTACGTTTCCATACAAGTCAACCAGTTTCCACTTGCCCGTATTCGTTCATTGCTCAATTTGTTAATTTTTATATTTTGTCAATATAGAAGATAAAGTATAAATTTGTTTGCAAATGCATGATTCGATCTTCTTTTTTTAAAAATGATTTTCTACAGATACAAGTTTTTCTATCTTAGGCTATTATATTGAGCCTACATGTATTACATTGAGTAAACCAGAGTATGCCCGTTATAAAACATGATGCATCTTCTAACAGCTTAGTTTTAAAAGACAACACAAAGGTATATGGTTTACATGAATATCAACATTTTTAAGAAGACTTCCCTAGCTTTATAAATGCAATTCGGCAATCTCATCCAACCAGTGTGCAAATGGTTTCAAAGCTGGTTTCACTTCCTCATCTAAGAAACGTGTAACCTAAAATGAAAACAAAAACAATTATTTGAATGATATTTTGTTTGTCAAGTTAAAAAGTTTGAATTACGGATATGACCATCCTCTAGTGATAATACTATACCCTAGTATAATAGTTCAAGATAAGTCTGAGCAGGTTCTGACTGGCACAATCTGGTTGGTATTCCTGTGGTTCAATAACTTAAGATTTGGACTATATAGTGATTGTGTTTGTTGTCAATGGCATAAAATGCTGGACACTATTTGCAGTATATCTTTTGTGGCAAATCTGCCCTAAATTGCCAAACATCATGTTCAAGATTTTCATTTTCTCGTGCAATACAATGTTCTCAAACTTAGCAAGCAATAACAAGAATAACGAAAAACGTTAGATAATATTCCATTCAAATAAACATCTACGTAATACAGTACTCTTTTTCGGTCAACGTTTTGACAACTCATTTTCTGTTTGCCTTTGTGACTGCATGAAAAGCTTTAGATTCATTTCCAACAGTGCAAACACAGGTATCACTCACTTGCTTGCCGAACCGTCATTTACAAAAAAATGAGCCAGATATTCACACATTGATTTATATTTGCATGGGTTCAAAAAGAAAAACAAAATGGCTAGGATACAGTACGCATAGCGAAGCTTTTGAAAAATAAGATACACTAGACTAGAGCTGATGATTTAATAATTACCAATATGGTCTTCAGTGAATTATGATAATCAAACCTTCTGATTGTTCAACCCAAAATTATTCATGACTACACTTTTTTTCTGTACACAAACAAATGATGTAAACATGCTATACATTGTATCTGTGCTGTTGGATGGGACTCCACTTTTTACTTTCATATATTCTTGCAAGTAAAGTCATGTTTCTAATCAACCCCAACCACTCATGACCGATCGTGACTTTATTTTGAAGCATAAAACCCACATTGTAAAACTGTGCTAATTTCTCTACCCTGTCTTGATAAGCATTATTGAAAGGAAACATGAATGCATGTTGTTAAAAACACTGAATACACATGCATGCTGAACATGCAAAATAGTACATTTCTCGTAGAAACTATTTATTTCTCTCTTTTTGTCAAGTATTTTACGGGGTATTTTCATCCTACCAAATAAGGAAATGCGAATTCCAAACAAGGAATGAATACACGAGTAAGTGTCCTCCAATAATAAAAACAAACATGGCTGCCATTAGGGTTTGACTGATGCGTAGTGGAGGTTGATACTTCAGCTGTACTGTCTTCATGCATACTTTGAGGTATTCTCGTAATAACCTTATATTCACTATCACTATTGAATGTATCGATGTACAATTTTCTGTAGCATAACTAGTTGAATCACAGCAAATCTCATATCAGCTTAGAGGGCACACTGCTTTGTAGTATTCTTGTGATAACCTCTTTGTATAGTATCATGAGAATCCAAATCATCTAACTATGGACTAGAGTTGAGTTCAGAATTTAATAATTATCTTCACCTAATCCCCCAAAGTACACACAGAAGAAACTTTACCATTTTGATCATGAAACAGTACAGTACATCAATGTACCCTCCACAAAGCTGATTTTGTAGTGATCCTGTGTTGAAATGGAATCCCTAAATTCAAGTTTAGTCAGCTTGTTGACTGCTTGGGAAGTCAGTCTACGAGAAAACTATCAAATTGTATGTGTTCTATTTTCTGTCATGTCAGTAAGTAGTTGTGTCATAGCAAATATTTGTGCATCAGTGATGTG